CACGGACGCAAAACACACATAAATAGGCTTTAGAAGGACTGCTTTAACTGGCAGGTGGAACTATTGACATATTTTTGAAAATGAAACAAGTTGCATCAAATACACTCTAAAGCAGTGGTCCCCAACCTTTTTATCGCCGCGGCCCGCTGAGCGCGCGCAGGGGTGGGGGCACGGCCCAGGAGCTTTTGCGCACAGCCCATTGCGCACGGCCCAGGAGCCTTTGCGCTGCAGCGTTCATGTCCCCCGGCCGCTGCGCGGCCCGGTGCCAGGTACTCCACGGCCCGGCACCGGTCCGCGGACCGGGGGTTGGGGACCACTGCTCTAAAGAGTGAAGACGAGTAAATATATGATGAGTTATTAGTTTTTTGCGTCATCATTTCCATGTTTTAATTCAATTGGTAGATATTATTCTATTTGTTCTATTCTTGCACTACAGCCCAATCTTTTCCTGCTGAAAGTTATGTTCTCTTTATTTGGGGGACAGACTCCTGAGTCACCATGTCCTGGACTGCAATGTAATTGTATGCCTATAACTAAATTATCACTTAGAAAAATGCTTACAATTAAGTTCTGGTTTGGGACAAATGGAGAAATCAAGTCTTCTCCTCATTTGCTAACAATGATTACAGGTTTTAATGTGATTGGGGAAATTCTTTCCTTAACCTCTTCTTTATGCCACATTCTGTCTGACCACTTTCCTTTTACAATAAGTAAACAAATATGTAATCCTAGAGCCAATGTCATTTTATTCATTCAAGGTGACTATTCAGGCAGTGTTAGCACCACAATGGGCCAGATGACCTTCCACATATTTGGAAAATATATGACTGACGTTAGTCATTTTTACAAAGGGTTAGAAATTAAGAAAATTCAAGCATCTGAAAAAAATCGTCATATGTTCTGTTGTGGTCAAATTTAACAAGATGATGCTCATATAATAGTTTTGCATCTAAATCTGTATTTATTTCTTAAGCAACAAGCCAATAGTTGGAGATTACTGATTTGAGTGCAGTGCTTCTGACAAAGATCTACAGACATCAACTCAACATAGGCAAATAGTATGATGCAGCGGATAAAATGGCCAATGCAATATTAGGCTATCTTAAGCAAAGCATTATATCCAGATCACAGGTTATAGATCCACTGAACTTTGTATTTGGAGTACTATATCCATCTCTTGTTAAAACCCCTAAAATGACTAACTTTAATATTTTTTACTAAAGGCAAAGAGATAAAATTTAAGCCTCTGCTCTGTATATTATATGAACATTGTTCCAAATGTTCATACTTCCAAATGTTCATATATCTTACTCTTATAAAGAGTAAGATAATGAGAGGACCATCTTTTGATGTCTTAGAAATTATTCTGTACTAATACAAAAATACAATAGAGGTGGGATTTGAGGTGTGAGGCTGCCAGGCCAATCACAGTTGGCATTAATTATGTGACATGAAGGCAAATAAATTTTTAGGTCAGCAGAATAAATTGAATGGTAAGCCCTAAACAGAAGCAAACCATTATATTCATAACGAAAGATTGGGGAAATGATGTTTTGCCTTGTTCCCCCAAGTTGCTGCCTTGCAGAAGGCTTCCCATCATGATTGTACATATAGACCAGAACATCTGGAATGACACAGGTGAGGAAACGGTTCATTCCAAGAGTTTGCATTTTGTAAAGCTTCTATAGATGCAACACTGTTCCATGTTTTTCCCATTATTCTTTTACATCTTCAGAAAATTGGACGGGGGAGAACGGGGTAGGAAAGGGAGAGGAATTGAAAACTTTTATTCAATTAGATACTGTTCATGTATTTCTTAAACTGGGGATTAAATCAATGGATGACCTTCCCTGGTGGCTTCATATAGATGTTGAAAAAGCAGAGGGGAGAAGAAATTCTAGGTTGATTCTTGAAACAGTGTGGTTTCAAAGTGTACAAGGACATTTTAGATGACTATTCTTACTACCATGCTTTTCCAAGCAACAGTTGCATGATATTTGTATAAAACCAATCCTTTAATTTGCACTAGAGATTATACTTTTCAGATATTATCTATGGGATATATTTAAACAAGCTTTAAAAATCTATTTTAAAATAAACAGATTCCACCTACGCTATCAGTGCACAGTCATTCATCTCCCCCCCATTCCTGAAGTCATGCCAGTTGTGACTTGTCTATAGTTGGATGCAGAATCAGAAAACTGCGATATTGCTTTTCTAGAAGTTTAGAAGATTAGATGCAATTCCTGACGGAGTTTGAACTGGAACATGATCTGTAGGGTAGTGCCTAAAGTTGCCAGGCTAAGAGCACTCCAAAAGTAGTTTTAAAAGGAAATTATATGGGTTTTAGTTTAATTATTTATTTCCATTATTTGTATACTGACACAATGCACATCTCTCTAGGCAGCTTAAAAACCCCGGTCGTAAAACAATAAAACCCATAAAAGGATTCAAGCTTTGGTCATGCTGAGTGATTAGCTTTGTTGGGGATCTATATAGGAGTAGTGCATATTTCCTGGCTGTAGTAGACCTCTTTGTGCCTTTTTATTCTACTGACTATATGCAAAGAGTCAGGACTAATACTATGCTATCCTTCTGGACCGCCTGTTCTACAGGAGTTCCATTCCTTCCTCAGTTAACAATTCCACTGGGAAAGGACAAATTTCCTAGTAGCCATTCTAATCTGGGGTATTGCAGAGTTCCTTCCTCTCCCCTCTGCTTTTTCAACATCTATATGAAGCCACCAGGGCAGGTCATCCATTGATTTAATGCCCAGTTTAAGAAATACATGAACAGTATCTAACTGTGCATTGTTACTCCAGCCCAAGCCAGGGATGCTATATATCATCTTGCCTTGATTTCTGGAGGCTTTTAGATCTTTGATAGAGCAAAACAGATAGAAACTGAACCCAAGGAAGGAGTTGATATTTGTTTCTCATGGTCAGCCCCAATAGTGTTTCTCACGGAGGAAGGACCTTCCCTAAAGGTCCTTGTTGCTGCGCTCAAGTATCCTCCTGGAATCATAGCTACCCATAGTTATAGCTCTTTGCACAGCTCTAGCCATCATGCCAGTTACAGCCCTATTTGGAACAGGGGGATCTCCTGGGATTCCCATCCTCATCCCTACTCATTTGGACCAGTTTTTTGTTTTTTGTTTTTATTGGATTTATATACCGCCCTTCTCCCGAAGGACTCAGGGCGGTGAACAGCCACAGAATAAAACACATAAATACAAGAATTTAAAATAGAATAAAAACGAATTAAATAATTTGGCTGAGACAAATTTAAAATACCCAATAATTTAAAAACAAATTAAAATTTACATTAAAAGGGGAAAAGATTTAGGCCAGGCCAGTTTGATGAAATAAGAAAATCTTGAGCGCGTGACGGAAGGTGCGCAGATCCGGGATCCTCTGTATCTCTGGGGGGAGCTCGTTCCAGATCGTAGGTGCCCCCACAGAGAAAGCTCAGTGGTGGGATTCACAATTTTTTACTACCGGTTCTGTGGGCATGGCTTGGTGGGCGTGGCTTGGTGAGCATGGCAGGGGAAGGATATTATAAAATCTTCATTCCCACCCCACTCCAGGGGAAGGTTACTGCAAAATCCCCATTTCCTCCCAATCAGCTGGGACTCGGGAGGCAGAGAATAAATGGGGCCAGTCAGAGGTGGTATTTACCGGTTCTCCAGAACTGGTCAGAATCTTATTCTGTTCGACATAGGACCATCTTCAAAGACTATTTGGAACCTACAGTGGGTGGAAAGTGCAACAGTCTGCATGTCATCTGGTATTTATTGCCATGACTGTGTTACATCTGTGCTGTGGGCCTTAAATTTGGCTGCCTATGGGATTCTGAGTGTAATTCAAAATGATGGTTTGGGATTAGCAAATCCTGTATATTTTAGGTATTTACAGGATCCTCTTTTCTAACCAGAATAAACTCACCCAACAAGACCATTGCAGAAGAAACTGCTGGTGTTCTCCCAATTATACAAGAAAGCAAAACAGATAGAAGCTGAAAGGAATGGAGAATTACAGGCACTACTTCTCACTGGTAGTGCCTGATAAGAGCAGATGTTACATTTTATCTCAGCCAAAAGATCAAGAACTCTTATTATTACTTGCATTTTATCCCACAGTTATATATACAGATCTGGCATTTTTAGTGCATTTTAACTTTGACTTGATAGGCAAATGAATTTCATTGTATTTATTGTTATTGCTTTTATTGTCTTATTTGTACTGGTCCAGGACCATAATAAAGATTTGTACTTGTACCAGTACAAGTGTTAGTGCCAGGTTTGTGGAATAATCTCTGATCTGGGATTCAGTTAATCCCCACTTTGGTTCAGTATCTGGAAACAAGTTTAAAACAAACTTTTCCAGTGGGCAGTTGGACTCATTTGATTAAGTTATTTGTTATCAGGGCTCAGATTAATATGATGTTTTATTGTGGGTGTTTTAATTTGTATTGACTATGATTCTGGTGGTATACACCCCAAATAGTGTTCAGTATATAAGTGGTTCTTGATTTGATTTAATTTAAATGACATTACTAAATTAAGTGCTGTCGTTACCTTTTATGTACTTGATATTTCCCCTTTTCTACCATGTATTTTAAACCAAAAATAATTGTTTTCTTGGAATTTTTGGAGGAGCTCTAAGGGGTTACATCTAACTTTAGGTCCTTAGGTTGTATTCTTTTATTTCACACATCAGAAAGTTTTCTCTTTACGGAAAACTTTTATTTTCTTGGAAATTGGAAACATTTGGTTAAGTGAATGTAAAAGATAGAAGCAGAACAGTAGAATAAAAATTATTACTTAAAAGCTCTTTAGATAAATTCAGAAGTTTCCTCTTTGGTGAATGTATATTTTCTAGTTCCAAAGTGCTTCCATCAAGCATTAGTAAAATCCAGGGTATTAAACATTTCTGAAATAGATTTTAAAGAATTACCTTTATGTGTTTAGTCACAATCTCTGTTCTCTTCAAAAAGTGAGAAGAATCCGATTGCCTGCATAATATGGCCTTGACCAGGTCATAAGCTTGAACAGCAAGCCATAACTGAGGCACCACAACTACCAGAAATAATGACTTTCTGGAAGACAAAGTAATAAGCAATAAACCTTGTAAGTGGATGTCCTACATAAAGAGAAATGTGGTCGCTAAATTGTGTGTATTCTTGCATCAAAGACCTTTATACCATAATGAAATTATAAGCCACAGTTGAGCAGTCATGGAAAACAAACTTACCCTTCATTCTAGAGTATCAGCCACACGAATGCCCACATGAACTAAAGTTCCTTTTTTGTAGATAGTTCAAGGGGAAGAGGGTGGAAAGTCCCATTACCTTCTCTCCCTTTCCATCCTTTGTATTAGCTGAACTGTAATCACAAATGCATTCAAGAACCAAGAAAACCCACACAACTATTCTAACAGGACAATTCAGAAGCGCCAAGAGTCGCATTGACTGTTCCCAGGCTCCAAGTGCACCTGTTGATTCAAAAGTAATATGGTTTTGGAGTCACTCTAATTTAGTCCAAAGTTAAGAAATATATCTGTTTTTGCTTCCATTCTATATGCCTTAAACAAGCCTGACAGAAAGGCAGCTATTATTCATCTATAAATGGTTCTGGAATATTAACTCCCAGCATCCTTTTACTCCCTTTAATTCCGCTGCTCAATCTTGGCTCGTTCTAATGTTCTCTTTCTTTCTTTCCAAGTTCTCTCTCTACTCCCTCACAATGATCTATATTTCAGATCAATCAGTGCATAACAGTTCCAGCGAAATAAAATGAACACACCTGACAATGTCTCATAATTCATCAGAGGCACAATCTGAAACCCCACAGATGCTTTATGGCCCTTGGATACCACCTCCAGAAACTTCTCAAAGTTGTTATCAAATTATATTTTTTAATGTGACAGAATGAAAAGTTATTAAATACAAGACTGAAGAACAATAATCCCATTAGCTATATTTAATTGTAAATCACTTTAAATATAACTGAGCTCAAATGTCATTTTTGTCTTGATTCTAGCATTGCTTTGAACCTGGCTGCTGGCATATTACCCAAAGATCAAATATGGTATCTAACCCACTTTTATTTATTTATCAGATTTTTATACCACCCTTCTCCCAAAGGGACTCAGGGGGGTGTACACCCAAGATAAAAACCAGTAATATAAAAGTTAAAAACAATTTAAAATTATTAGATAGTTTGGCCAATCATCTAAAACACAATAACCCATTAAAATAATATTTTAGGCCAGCTCTGCTTGATGGAATAATAGCGTTTTAAGGGCGCGGCCGAAGGTACGGAGGTCGGAAATCCGACAAATCTCCGGGGGCAGCTCGTTCCAGAGGGCAGGTGCTCCCACAGAGAAGGCTCTCCCCCTGGGGGTCACCAGTCGACACTGTCTAAGCAACAGCACCCTGAGGAGACCCTCTCTGTGGGAGCGTACTGGTTGGTGGGAGGCTATCGGAGGCAGAAGGCAGTCTCGTAAATATCTATTCTATACATCTATTCAGAAATTGTGGGCGCTCTATCACTGGAAGTTTTTAAGAAGAGACTAGACAGACATTTATCTGAAATAGTATAGGTTCTCCTGCTTGACCAAGAGGCTGGACTAGAACCCTCCAAGAACCCTCCAATAGAATAGCTCTATTCTATTCTATTCTATTCTATTCTATTCTATTCTATTCTATTCTATTCTATTCTATTCTATTCTATTCTATTCTATTCTCTCAAATGCAATTGTTGGAAATTTAAATTTTAGAAATTGGGGAGGGGCATAGCTGAACTTTAAAAATACACCTACCTGAATCAGGACAACAATGGGCTGAAACTATTTAAATATGCTACAATTCCTCTTGCTTTATCCGTATTGAATTCAAATTTTGATATCTATCTTCTTCTTTTTTTTTTTTTTAATTTGATTTATATGCCGCCCTTCTCCAAAGACTCAGGGCGGCTTACAATGTGCTCAGCAATAGCCTTCATCCTTTTGTATATTTATACAAAGTCAGCTTATTGCCCCCACAAACTGGGTCCTCATTTCACCTACCTTAGAAAGGATGGAAGGCTGAGTCAACCTTGAGCCTTGGCGAGATTCGAACCCTGCAGTAATTGCAGGCAGCTGGTCTTAATAACAGGGTGCTTTAAACCCCTGTACCACCAAGGCTGGTTTAGCTGTTGCACACATTCAGAGCTGGAATTCAGCATTCTACTTTCATGGATAAAATGTCTTCTATCAGTGGACCTAAAGCAGAGATGCTCAGTTAGTTCTATAGGCCTTCAAGAACCATTCCATTTTGAAGCTGATGGATTAGGGAAACTATACTAGATTTGACATGCAGATAGCAGACAGTGCAGGAATACATGTGAAGTGACTTCCTCTGGGATTTCTAAGAATTAAACCTGGTGCCGCATCTTTCCTTCCTTGTGTCACTTCACATGTATCCATGCAATGTCTGCTATCTTCATTTTAAATAAAACATGCGTCTAAGTCACTGCACTTTTCTATCAGCTTTCATTCATTTGAAAGATTTTTTTTCATTTGTTTTCAAAGAAATTCTTAACAGAAGAGTGTGAGTCTATGATTCCTTTTACATGTTACTAGGTGGCCAGATCCCTTCACGGATCAACAAAAGTGTGTATAGTCAAGGCTATGGTCTTCCCAGTTGCAATGTATGGCTGTGAAAGTTGGACCATAAGGAAGGCTGAGCGCCAAAGAATTGAGGCCTTTGAATTATGGTGCTGGAGAAGACTCCTGCAAGTCCCTTGGACTGCAAGGCAATCAAACCAGTCAGTCCTAGAGAAGATCAACACTGACTGCTCTTTAGAAGTCCAGGTCCTGAAGATGAAACTCAAATACTTAATTAAGCCACCTAATGAGAAGGAAGGACTCACTGAAGATGAGCCTAATGCTGGGAACGAGTGAGGGCAAAAAAAGAATGGGATGACAGAGAATGAGGTGGCTGGATGGAGTCACTGAAGCAGTAGGTGTGAGCTTAAATGGACTCCAGAGGATGGTAGAGAACAGGAAGGCCTGGAGGAACATTGTCCATGGGGTTGCGATGGGTCAGACATGACTTCGCAACTAACAACAACAACAAAGGTAGCCAGAGTAGGGCTACAACATCTGCACTGCAACAATCCAGGCAATTACTAGAGGACAGGACAGCAAAAATTGCTGTGTTATTGCAATGCGTTATCGCTTAACGCATTGTAAGCCGCCCTGAGTCTCCGGAGAAGGGCAGCATATAAATCAAATTTTTTTAAAAAAACATAAGAACTCTAATCACAACCACCAAGTGATGCTCTGCATTCTGCAACCCCCATCTGATAGCCTTCGGCCAATGTTTCTTCAACTTTATTTTCTCTCAGGACCCCTTCCCACTTTTACATGGAGGACCCCCCAAAAGAGCTTTTGTTTGTGTGAGTTGTATTTAGCAATATTTACCATATTAAAAATTAAAATTGACACATCTTCTGCCGCTACAGCTTTTCACAATTGTTTGATGGAGTTTTAATATTTTATTGTTTTTCAACAATGCAATGGCAAATAATTTTGATTTCGCAGATCACTGGGTGGGTTTGGGGAGTCCCAGGCATACTAGGACCACACTTTAGGAAACACTGCCCTAAACCCTAAAGGTTTGGGTGAATGTCCTTACAATGTAAAATTGTTTCTCTATCCACAAATAGTCTCCTGCTTTCCCATGATCCAATTAAATCTCAAGAGAGGACAAAAGCATAAATGCATTTGAAATCAATCAGTGAGTAAGCAGTCCAACCAGATAAACCCTTCCACTGGACTTTTCAGATTCAGAAGTATGGTAGAAAATAGGCAACCTGCAGAGTTATGGAAAGATATGCAATAAAGGGGAGAAAAAAACATCAGTCATAGAATCATCTACCATCTTGAACTTTACAGTCAACCTGCAAACAATGCCATGTTAAATCTAAAAGAAATTCTGAAGTATTCTGATAATATGGTCTATATATTTAAAACGTGTCTTTTGCAGACTAATAAAACGTTTAAGAACTTTCAGGGAAAGTTTCAGCAAAGCATTTTCCTCTGTACAAACATAAATCTTAAGTACTAATATTATGGCCAGTGGGATATATTTCAAACTACTGACAACAATGTAGAAAGAATTCAGAGTTTTCTGCTTTATTTTTAACATCTTTACTTTTCATCATCACTGCCAGGCCATTGTCAAATCAATAAAATACAGCACCCAACATACCAACACTGACAGGGGCAAGCCATTAATATATAAATAGAGAGCATAAGCACTCTCTTCTCGCACGGATGATGTTACCCAGTTTGGTAATGAAACATCTGCAAGAAAACAACCAAGCTCAGAGAGCATCAAGGACCACAATTTGCACATTGATTTCATGATGTCATTGAGGCTTTCAACTGTAGATCTTTGCATCCAAAGTTCTTGAACTCAGATGACAAGCACTACAGTATTTGTTTGTGTGTATGTATAAAGACATATTGAAATCGTAATTCAGATCATAAATTGTTGGTGGCTAAGATCAGAGCCAAATTATGCAGGATCAAAAACGCAACGCTGACAAAGAAATTTAACGTCACCAAAAGCCCTTCCACATATGCAGCTAAGGTGAAAAATAGGTTTGAATTGCTGGATGCTGCTGAGAAGATTTCCAGTGAACTGTGGCAAGAAATTCAATTGACCATCATTGAAATAGCAGTCGAACACATACCATACAAGAAGCCAGAGGAAAAATCCAAGTGACTCAGATGAAACCATCAGAACAGCCAAGTGAAGAAAAAGAGCCAAAGCAGTGGTAAGTGACAGGAACCAAGGACTTTCAAAGAGCAACAATGGAAGACAATTTACTGGAAGTAGCATTGTAAGCAGCCAGAGGAGGACTGCAGGAAAGGCCACATCAGGAATGCACTTGTGCAAGTCAAAATGATTCGAATAACACTTATTGCTCATGAAAGCATCATCAAAATAAGCAAGGGAAAGAAGTGTCTGACCAACAAGGTATCAAGAACAGATGGCAAGAATTTACAGAACAGCTGTTTTGCCCATAATAAAGAGGCCCAGGCTCCCAAGGAAGATCTGGAAAGGGAAGCAGAAATAGAACCAGCCATCCTTCAGGAAGACGTCATATGGGCAATGAGCCGACTGCCAAACAACAAGGCCCCAGGTGCTAATACCATCCCCACAGAGTTGCTAAGGTCTGTACCACCCACAACCATCACAGCCTTTTGCCAGAAAGTTTGGGGAACAAACACAAGGCCATGCGATTGTAAATGGTGAGGGTTCATTCCATTGCCAAAAAAGGGTTGCTCCAATTACCGCAGTATTGCCCTCAACCCTGACACTAGCAAGATTCTCCTTAAGATCATACAACATCTGGTGCTGACCCTGAAAGGGGAGTTACCAGATGTTCAAGTTGACTTCTGAAGGGGTCGTAGTATTCACAACCACATAGCAGATCAATGCTGAATCATGGAAAGGTCCCAAGAATATCAAAAGAATGTCTACATCTGTTTATTGACTACAATAAAGCCTTCAATTGTGTTGATAATTGTGGAGATCCCACAAAGATCTACACCAACTTGACATCTGGTCTTGTTGGTGTAGTAACTATATACAAACCAAGAAGACACTATACAAACACCATATGGAAAGAGGAGTGTGACAAGATTGCATTATTTCACTTTTCTTATTCAATCTGTATGCCGAAGCATGAGGAAACTGGAATTTGAAGACTCAAAAATTGGAGTAAAGTTTGGAGAAAGGAACGTTAATGATCTTTGTTAAGATGATCACACAATTCTCCTCTCAGAAACCAAAGAAAGCCTGAAACATTTCATCAAAATAATTAAAGAGAGAAAGTCTTCATCAACATCATAAAGACCATGGCCACTGCATGATCCTGACCACTGCAAGGAATAGAATTTTAATAATAACAATAACAAGTGAAAATATCCAATGTGTGCAAGAATTCCCTTTTCTAGGATTGCACATTGATCAAAGTAATGAATTGCTTTGAATTTATTGCAGCCCAGCAATAAAGCATTAAATCATATTGGATTCATTATTTAATTGACACTGTATGCTTATCCGTTTGCTAGATGCTCAGGTTGTCTTTAAAAATGTGATTGGCCACTACGGCCATAAGAATATTTCAGTAGCAACTGTATCACAAGACAGAAGACATCGGAGAGGGGAATAAGGAAATGGTGCTACCAATTTATTTTATGTTCTCTCCTCTTCTTTTTCAACTCTAGAACCTGTAGCATCGAGTGCAAAAGACCTGAGATTGCTTAATGGTCTTTGCTCCATGTTCAGAGTTTGGGGGCAAAGACGACAACTATGGGTCATCTAGAAATTGTTTTTGAGATTTTGGGAGCACAAAAATGATAGCAAACAATAGTCTCCCAAAATTGTCCTCAATACCATCATTTTTTAATTAAGCTTGGAGAAGAATTGTAGACTTCTGGTGGCCAAAATAATAAGTATAATTGCAACTGTCATACTGTGGCTTTTACTCTTGGACAAATTAAGAAAGATTACACCAAAGTAAATAAAGGGGGCAATGGAATCAGAGGGATAGATAAAACTGGAGCAAGATAATAGCAGGCGCCTTTCAGTGCCTGACTAATTTTTCTCTCTAGAGCAGAGTTTCAGATTTTGGCACACTTTGCAGCCCATAAAACTTAGCGTGCTGATTAAAAACACAACCATAGAAGCAACACAACTAAGGATGCATAAAAGAGAGAATTAATGGCAGTTTGTGAATTTCATCTAAAATGAATGTAGAGGTGATGCTGAGGAATTCCTTATGCAAATGTACTTTGCTTCAATATTATTTCAGTTGTGGCTAATAAAAGAAGAAGCAGTTACTGTACAAGCTTTATTTGCTATTTGCATTAAACCCAGGAGCTCATGTTTTTAATTTCATCTTCTTGGGAAGTTATAGGACTGGGGCAGTGATGGGATTCAAACATTTTTACTACCGGTTCTGTGGGCATGGCTTGGTGGGCGTGGCATGGCATGGCATGGCTTGCTGGGCGTGGCATGGCTTGGTGGGCATGGCAGGGGAAGGATACTGTAAAATCTCCATTCCCACCCCACTCCAGGGGAAGGTTACTGCAAAATCCCCATTTCCTCCCGATCAGCTGGGACTCGGGAGGCAGAGAATAGATGGGGGCGGGGCCAGTCAGAGGTGATATTTACCGGTTCTCCCAACTACTCAAAATTTCCGCTACTGGTTCTCCAGAACTAGTCAGAACCTGCTGAATACCACCTCTGGACTGGGGACTTGGAAGCCAACCTTCCCAATGCCTACCCTTGTCATATGGAATAGCCTCCACCCCATTACCTTTTCAAAAAAAAAGTGGGGGGGTTTAAGGTGAACCTCTTTTCTGGGCCTTTGAAAGATGGTGATGATTTTATATGAAGGCTTTTTTAATGCAGGCTTTTTATGTGTGCTTTCATATATTATGTTTTAGATATGTTTATGATTTTGTGATGATAATATTGTAAGCCAGCTAGAATATATGACTGGGCTGGCAAACTGAAGAAATAATACATAGGTTATTGGGGAGAAATCCTTTTTTAAGAAATATTTTTTAAGAGTTCTGAGTTCCTTAGATCAAATGTCTAAGACAGAAATAAAATTAAACAACCGGCTCATATTTTCAAACACATTATCCTGAGAAATAGCATTAGAATGCCTTCTTTGATTATCTTGGTTGATTTTTGATCATGGGCTTGAAACTTACACCACTACATACAAGGTTATTAGAAAAACTTGAGCATACGAATTACTCCTCTTTAGAGAAACTAAGTTAAATCAGGTCTGGTTTTGCACAAATCAATACTTGCATAAAAAGTCATCAGGATACCCCAGAACTGGTGAGGCATTTGAAAAAAACACCCCAGAAAAAGCACATGGCAAATTACTTTCTTACTGTTGCCAAGAAGACATTGAAAATTTTTATATCTTTCAAGGATATATCTAAGAATTGTCTACACGGCTATGTAGTTATTCTAGGAGTCAAAATTCTGCAGATAGACCCCAAACTGAAAAAAATGCTGGCCTTCAAAATTACTTGGAAAGCAGAGCCAGGAGGAGATAAAAATTCCAAATAATGGAGCATACACAGGACTAATCTTCTTGGCTTCTTTAAGAGAACAGGCTCTGTGAGAAATCTTTAACTATTTTTTTGCTGGTATTTTTATAAAAAATGGTGTCCAGCAACTAGTATTGCCTTTTCTTCTCTGCATTGCATTTACATATAGTGCACTTTCTAAGCCCTTCTTTAAGGCAAAATAATATATATAATCTGGAATAAATGAACTCTTTATTCAAAGAGAAAAAGTGACTTGAAATTTGAAAATAAGAATAATTCCCTATATCAACTTAAAGAAAGCAATGCTAGGATTTCATAGATGGATAAGCAACGCTATTTTAAAATGTAGCTGGAGATCAAAAGTTATGTCAATATCAAAATGAAGAACCACAAGACATAACAACAAGAAACAAGGATTTCTGATGAAGTTTTTCTTTTACAATTGCCCGTGCCACTAGACTATCTGAAAACACATGTATATAGCTCAGTTAGAAAAATATAATTAAATTACCTTATATTTAAAAAATCACACTCCCAAGCTTTTTTTAAAAAAAACAAAACAAAAACATGAGTGGTAGCAACTTGATTTTTAAAATCCCCTTCTTCTGCTGCTTTTTAGAAATGGGGATATAATTCTTGAATGCCTCACATCAACCCAGACAGTGGTGAAATCCAATTTTTTTTACTACCGGTTCTGTGGGTGTGGCTTGGTGGATGTGGTGTGGCTTGGTGAGCTTGGCAGAGGAAGGATACTGCAAAATTTCCATTCCCACCCCACTCCAGGGGAAGGATACTGCAAAATCCCCATTCCCTCCCCACTCCTGGGGGAAGGATATTGCAAAATCTCCATTCCCACCCTACTCTGGGACCAGCCAGAGGTGGTATTTGCTGGTTCTCCGAACTACTCAAAATTTCCGCTACCAGTTCTCCAGAACCTGTCAGAACCTGCTGGATTTCACCCCTGAACCCAGACCCTTTAACTGTTAGTTAAAGAGATAGATTTAGGTGCCAGCCATTGTAACAGTGTGCAAAAACAAAACAAAACGAAGTGACTTGGTGCAATAAATCAATCCTTAGATATAATGAATCTTAGGTAGCCTGTCAAGGCTAATACCAGTGGCAACACTTAAGGAAAATATTGGGAGTGAGAAGGACTGAATTATATTCTAAGAAAGTGAATTGTGCCTTGTACTTTGAGTTCCATCAGACTGTATTTCATGCTGACAACCCAGTTCTAAGTAGATGTTCTCTTAGAAATAATGCTAATTTCAGCAAGATTTCTACTTACGTAAGTATGCTTAGGATTGCATAAAATTGAAGTTCTACTGATCTATAGGATTCTCTAAGTCAGGGGTGTCAAACTGGCGGCCCGCAGGCCAGATGCGTCACACGCAGGACACCCCTCCAGCTCCGCGAAAGAGAAAAACATCGCAAAACATCACGTGATGGCAACATGATGCTGCGAGTTTGACACCTGTGCTCTAATACTAATAAAATGTATGCCTCTCTCCCCAAATAGGATTTTTATATTTTTATGCAGTACATATATAAAAAATATAGAAAAAAAGCTACATGACAAAACAATAAGCAACTGCAACCAGGTGGTGATCCCTGCTCTCTGGAATGACATTCTCACAGATATTCATGCTGCAGCCATCTTAATGACTTTCCATAAACTGTACATGCCATAAACTGATTGACCTGGGGCCAGTCACTCTCTCTCAGCCTGAAACACCTCGCAGAGTTGTGATTGCAGGGAAAATAGGAGGAGGAAGGTGTGCTGAATACTTTTCATTGCCTTGAGTGATTTGTAAAAATAATAAAGGCAGGAATAAATGAATGAATGAATGGATGGATGAATGAATGAATGAATGAATGAATGAATGAATGAATTCCTGCATCAAACCTAATGACCTAAAAATGACAGAAAATGAAAATGTTGATGAAAAGCTTTGGGGGGAGGGGAATCAGGAGAAATTAATCCTCTGATGCATAAGAGCTCATTGCTTTAATAAAAGCTTGAACTCCATAACTTGTGAATATAGGAAAAAGCTACATGGCTTACCTAGCCACGTAGAAGAACTCAATGAACATGGTTAAGGAGGCCGAGATGTTTCTTGGAAGTTTTACTCCCAATGTATTCTTCCACAGATTTGTGAACATCTGGAAAAAGGTAGTTACTAAACAAAGATGCAGCCCTGGTTTTGGCACAAGCTGGGTCTCCTGAGAATCAAACATTGCCATGATCAGGATTTCATACTGAATTAAATATGGATACATCCCCACTGTTTCTGCAGTCAGAAAACATCTGTTTCAAAGCAACTCCTGTCTCCAAAACTGTCATGCAAGCAACTGAAAAGAAAAGAAAAAGACAAGAAATAAAAAGCTCCCAGAACACCCTACCTTGGAAATTTAACTGGAGCAAATAAGGAAAAACTAAAGGAAGAAACGTGTGAGAATTAGGTTCGTTTTTTTTCTAATGGAACTTATTAAATTTGCAAATGTCTTCATAAATAAGTTGGAAAGAATTTGAGGGAAAAAATCAAATTGGGAGAATGAGAAATTACCAGATTGCTTCTGGAACTGAAAGAATTTGGGATCTGGAAAAAAAGAACACATGTGGGAAGAAGTGAAACTAATAAATGTGTCTGTCCCTTGGTACTTGAAGAAACTTTGTACAACAGCCAAAGAAAGAAGATGTTTCCTACAATCTTGATTTGTGATAGTACTTCCTATGCAGAAATTGAGATATTTCTTTCCACTGTGTCATATTGACTCCTTGACTCCCAACTGACAACCATAGTAGCTTCTGGGAGAGTGATTTGATCCTTTCAGAGATACACCCCTGATCTCAATCTTACTTGGAGTACCCCCCCTTAAACTCGGGGGCCATAATATCTGATGTTCTCAATGGGTCTTATGTCCAGTGGTGGGATTCAAAAACTTTTACTACTGGTTCTGTGGGCGTGGCTTGGTGGGCATGGCAGGGGAAGGATACTGTAAAATCTTCATTCCCTCCCCAATCCAGGGGAAGGTTACTGCAAAATCCCCATTTCCTCCCGATCAGCTGGGTCTCGGGAGGCAGAGAATAGATGGGGCGGGGCCAGTCAGAGGTGGTATATACTGGTTCTCCCAACTACTCAAAATTTCTGCTACCGGTTCTCCAGAACTGCTCAGAACCTGCTGAATACCACCTCTGCTTATGTCCTATACTTATAGGATTATGAATTTAATGCTTTTGTTAGACAGCTTGCAATCCCTCAAGAAATCCATCCTGACTACTTAAAATGGAGGCAAAGTATACCAAGCAGTATCTTCACGAAACATGACCTTACTGTGGCGTTTGTCATACCAAACCAGAGGCAGTTTGGTCTCATGGTTAAGGCACCAGGCTAGAAACCAGGAGTCTGTGAGTTCTAATCCCATATTAGGCATGAAAGTCAGCTGGATGACTTTCGGCCAGTCATTTTCTCTCAGTCCAACTTACTTCACAGGATTGCTGTTGTGGGGAAAATAGTTGATGAGGCATATTAAGTATGTTCACTTACTGGAGTTATTATAAAAATAATCAAGACAGGATGAAAAAGATTTTTAAAAAATAGTTATTCAATCCTACGATCAGGGTCGGATTTTCCTATAGGCTAACTAGGCTTCAGCCTAGGGCCTCAAGATCAAGAGGGGCCTACATTCAAATTGTTAGCAAAATTAAAATTACACTTTCACTATAGGTGAAAGAGCCTCATAAGTGGAATAGCCTAGGGCCTCTTTTCATCTAAATCCGGCCCTGCCTACGATACTAAGCCAGGGGTGTCAAACTCATGATGACATGTTGTCATCACGTGACACAGAGGTGGTATTCAGCAAGTTCTGACCAGCTCTGGAGAACCGGTAGCAGAAATTTTGACTAGTTCAGAGAACCAGTAAATTCCACCTCTGACTGGCCCCACCTCCATCTATTCTCTGCCTCCCAAGTCCCAGCTAATCGGGAGGAAATGGGGATTTTGCAGTATCCTTCCCCTGCCACGCCCTCCAAGCTATGCCATGCCCACCAAGCCACGCTCACAGAACCGCTAGTAAATTTTTTTTAATCCCAACAGTGACGTGATGCATCACAACCTTTTTCCCCTTTGCTAAAATGGGGGTGGGCGTGGCCAGCACATGACGAATTCAGCCCATGGGCGACAAGTTTGATACCCCTGTACTAAGCCATTCTTAAGTTCAAGTCAGCATTTGAGGCAAGCAAAAGGACCTCTACCAACCAAGTGCTCCCCAAAATCGGCAAGTCATTTTTCTGAATCAGAAGGCATGCCCAAAAGAGCTACCCAGCACAGGTGGATAACCATATACTAATAGACCTAACCAAGATCCTAACATTTCATTTACATTTGACCCAATGACATTCTGACCCTGGTTGCTTGGTAACCAGATTCTTTTACAATGCTACCATTGTAAAAAAAAAGAAAAAGAAAAGAAAAAAATGGGCAAGATTGTGTTCTGAGTGGGTAGTCACCCATACTTGCTTGCCTAATTACTCTTGTGCCTGAAATGGTCACCCCAGCACTGTTGGTTGACAATACATTAATAGACCTAGACAAGATCCTAAGGTTTCGTTTACATTTGACCCAGTGACATTCTGACCCTGGTTGCTTGGTAACTGGATCCTTTTACAATGCTACACAGCCACAGGCATGAAGCAAGTTGTGCTTACAGAGTTTATGACTTGACATTGTCCTGGCTGGTCTCCCTGCAGGGAGAAGTGTGTGTGAGAGAGGTCAAACCAGGACATTATGTCTTCCTAATGATTGTGTTAATGTTGTGCCAGTGAATCATACTGACCCCAGGATACTGAAGGCTAAATTCAGATCTTTCAAATCTTCAAAGGGAGCTAAAGAATTGTCCCAGGGACATGAATCAGTACAAGTCTTGTTATACTCCTCTAAGGACCAAGTGGAATAAGTAAATAAGTACATGTAAACCCTACTCTAGAGACACCTACTCTCTACACTTTCTGCCTCTTCCATTATTTAGAGATTCTACAGACCCATCCCCAAGATTTACGAACTACAGCATACCACAGACCAAATACTCATCAAAAATGGGATGTAGGACTGTTAATTAGACCATAAATTAAATATGTTGTGTTAAAACTTCAATGATAACCTGCCAAAAAAACTTATAGCCATTACACATGCACCACATTCTCTCTGAGGCCCAGATTGCAGACATTATAATGTGACAATGTCTTCTCTCAACTGATTAGCAACCCATGGGCTCAGAAATAGATAATAAAAAAGTAAGACCAGCGAAGATTCCACTCTCCTCAACAATGTCCACTCTTACAGTACTTATCCTGATCTAACTTTAGATGACAGAAATGCAAATTCTAGTTTTAGCAATGGTTCTGAAAAGAAAATTTAAAGTCAATTAGAGAACATGATCTAATGTCCTTCCCCACAATTTTACTGTGCCTTAATTCTCACCTTATTAGCTTGAAACAAGAGAGTAGCCTTTTTTTTTTAATTTCAAGATTTATAAATGGCTACCTTTGCAATTTATTCAAGTGCACAAATGAGTCTTGCTACCCTTTCGATTCTAGTCAAGTCAGGTTGTACAAGCTTGTTAGCATCTCTCAATTTCTCTACCAACACTGTTTTGCTGAAAGCTCTGATCCATGCCAATCTATTGTTATTATTTTCCTTTCAAACTCAGAGAGGATGTTCAAAATGTCAAATTAAAGAGTCTCTTCCCTTGAGAAAATGTAGATCAGAGGCGCCATTCAAATCATTTCCACCACAATGTCTTAACTTGGAACCTGTGGTTTATCTTTTAATTGCTGAAAAACAGACTAATAAAGAATGATAATTAAATTCCCCAACATTGTGAAATAGAGCAATTAGATGCCCCGTTAATTTTTTTCAGGATAGCTAAATAAGAAAAAAGAAACTAAATCATGGAACTTAAATATTTACAAGACATGCAATGGTCTCTGGTTTTGCAAAACAACTTTGTGAGTTCCCAAGACAAAAAGCACTTGAAGGGGCTACAGGGAATGGCATTGGTTTGGGATCTGAGTTAGTAGTAAGAACTATAAGCTGATTCTCCAAAAAACAAACATTAGAAGAAATACAATACGACTTTATCATAGGGCATGGCTGGAGAGCTGGATAGCAAGAGATGAAAATGTCAGATCTTATTCTTCATCCCAATATTCACTGAGTTTTCCACGAAGCCAAGGAAAACTTGTCTTGCATTTGTATGTGTGTAGATATATGTATGCCTTCCTTTTTTAATGTATTGACTAGCAATGTAGAACATTTCAAGAAGGATAGCATCTGACATTGATCAAGCAACCTTCAAGTAATTAATATCACCTCTACAGATTAATATTCAACATGTTGTGTGTGTCTATGACAAAGAAGCAAAGCATAAAAGTTACCATAACAAAAATGCATGGATAATAACGTAACTACGGATAGTCCTCGACCTACGACCACAATTGAGCCCAAAATTTCTATTGTTAAGTGAAACATTTGTTAAGTGAGTTTTGCCCCCTTTTACAACCTTTCTTACCACAGTTGTTAAGTGAATCACTGTAGTTGTTAATTTAGCAATACGGCTAGTTGAATCTGGCTTCCCCATTGACTTTGGTTGTGTAAAAGGTAAAGGTTCCCCTCACATATGCGTGCTAGTCATTCCCGACTCTAGGGGGTGGTGCTCATCTCCATTTCTAAGCCAAAGCGCCAGCACTGTCTGATGACAATTCCATGGTCATGTGGCCGGCATGCCTAAATGCCGAAGGCGCACAGAACACTATTACCTTCCCACCAAAGGTGGTCTCTATTTTTCTACTTGCATTTTTTACATGCTTTCGATCTGTTAGGTTGGCAGAAGCTGGGGCAAATAACGCGAGCTCCCTCCATTATGCAGCGTTAGGGATTCAAACGGCCGAACTGCCGACCTTTCTGATTGACAAGCTCAGCACAAAAGGTGATCACATGACCCTGGGACACAGCAAGGGTCATAAGTATGAACCAGTTGCCAAGCATCTGAATTTTGATCACAAGATCATGGGGATGCTACAAAGGTTGTAACTGTGAAAAATGATCATAAGTCACTTTTTTCAGTGTTGTTATAATTTTGAACGGTCACTAAATGAACTGTTGTAAATCAAGGACTACTTCTATTCTGC